CCCACTATGTGCTAAATACTCGAAATCTTACAATCTGCTGAGGGTGGTTGGAGGATAAATACAACAGAATTGCATGTAAATAAGTGTGGATGAGAATGTCAAGCACTTGTAATGAGATTTGGAAAAGGGAGAGTTGGATAAAAAATGCCCAACACATAGAAGCATTTTTGGACAAGGCCAATGTGCTTGATGGCATTTGTCAGGATTTCCTTTTTTTGTGGTCAGTTCCATTGGGGAGGGGAAATGAACCTGGAAAAGTGAACTGAAGCCAGAATGGTTGGGGGTGAGGATGCAGTCATTAAGAATCGTTCTCTAATCAGTTTATTCATATCCTTTGACTACTTTTCTCAAAGGCATTGAAGCCACGAACCAACCTGAGGACTAGCTTACATACCTCCAGCAAATTATAACAGAAGACCAAACAGGGAACTTATTTCTACCAAATATATTCAAAGGAGCATAAGAGTTGGAACTAGGCCCTTAGAAGTCAGTCATCACATGAAAGCCCAGAGTTTAGTTAAAGGGCTTGCCCAACATCCCATAGGTAGTAGCATGCTTGAAGCCCAGACCTCTCCCATGTCTAGTACTCCACCCAACCACTCAAAAGCAGCTTTTATAGTAGCAAAGAACTGGAAACCAACTATGTGCCCACAGGTTAGGGAATAAATGCCTGGAGTATTATTACTTCTCTTTGAGGAATGTGAACCAGAGAATATAGAATTATACTCACAACTAGGAATTAAAAGGACATTAAATAGCAACAAAGGTCAAACTAATCAGGCAAAACAAATTGGGATAGGAAAATAATTGGTCTGTCAGACCACTGGTGAATAAGAAATTCTGAGAACTGTGGAAATAAAGTGGAACCAAAAAAATATGCATGACTACGGTAATGTAAACAGAAATTACTAAAAAGGGCAGCTGAATTCCTTGTTTACCATGAACAATGGTGGTTCATGAGGGCATAACATGTCAAGCTGAAGGACTATGGCTGCAGAGTGCAGTATACTCCAGCCATGTAGAACTGGTTTTCTTTGTCAGAAGTTTCAAAATGGTACCTCCTCCCTTTAAAGGTGGGGAGCTATGGCTCATGCAATTGATCAGACACAATGTTTTTGGTTTTGCTGGACTTTTAAAAATCTTTCCTACAAGGAAAAGGCTTGCTGTATAAGAAAAGTAGCATTACATTCAGAAGTGAATCTAATACTGTAGACCAGGATAATGACACATATGTAATAGGTCCCATTACAACCAAAATTAGAGAAGTGAGGAAATGATCTTCTAGACTGATTGGAGTTCACAAACAAAAAGAAATAAAGGATCACAGTAAACCCCTCTTTCTCTCCTAACACTGCCAGAACCATGGGACAGAAGCTCATCACTCCACACACTAATTACTGCCAAAGTCTCTCTTCTCTTCTGCTCCAGTCCATTCACCACTCAGCTGTCAAACTGTCTTCCAAAAAGCCCAGGCCTGACCATGTTACATCTCTACTCAATACACTTTGAGGACCAAATATAAGACAAGATTACATACAATTTAAAAGGTTTTTGTGTAAGTGAAACTGGAAAAAAAAATCTTGGCAATTTTTCTGGTCTCATCTCATTTCCAAACAAATAAGAATCAGACTCAAATTTAGGATAAGAGCCATTCCCAATTAATAAATGGTCAGAGGAAGAAATTCGAGCTTCCAATAGCCAGATGAAATAATTGCTCCAAATCACTTTTCCCCCATCAAGAAGCATTTATTAATAAGCATTCACTGTGTGCCAGATGCTGGGGTTACAAAGACAAAAAATAAATCACTTTCTTGACAACAATGACAAATATCAGAGGGGCTGTGGGTACAGGCACATTAATGACTATGGACAGAGCTATGAATTAAGTCACGCAATTTAGACTATGCCTAAAAGGTTGCTTAACAAGGCATATCCCGCTGTAACTTAGCAACATCACTACGAAGACTATTGGACAGAGATCTAAAGAGGAGGAACGGTTCTCACATGGTTTTTGTAGTGGGGAAAAAACCCACAAACTAAAGAAATGTTAATCAGTTGGGAAATGTCCTAACAAAATATGACATATGGAGTGGAAATGTTATTGTGCTATAACAGACTGTTTCAGAGAAACCTGGGAAAAAGTGCATGATCTGATGCAGAGTAAAATGAAGAACTCTGTCTCATCAACGCAATGTGACCACTGTGCTGCCAAGGAGATGTTATTCTCCCTACTCTGGACAGAGAGGTAATGCTCAGAATCCAGAATAAAACATAAATGGCCAAACTGGGATTTTATTTGGCTACTGTGGAGAAAGTTTTGTCTTCCTTCTCCCCAGTTGGGGGAAGAGATCGAGAGGAAAATGCTGGTTATGTAAAAATACTTTAATTTAAAATTTTAGTTTAAAAAAGTAAAATGTAATATAAAAGCAAAAACTTTTGAGAAATACAACGGAGGGTTAGGAAACCAAATTAAAAATATTTAATTGGGAAATTTTTAAAAAAACTGCTACTCAGGGAGGTCAATGTACAGTTTCCTTTTCTATTTGGGTTTGATACCAATGGGTTAGAGTGCTAAGAGTACATTAGAAAATGACTGTTTTAAAGGCAAAAATAAAAGTGGGGGGAGGAGAGGGAGTAATCATTGGATAAGCCAAGACATACCTGCCCTTTCAATAAAGCCAAAGTGAGAGGCTGTATGTCTTTTTTTTTTTTTTTTTGCAAGGCAGTTGGGGTTGAGTTGCCCAGGGTCACACAGCTGTTGAGTATCATGTGTCTGAGACTGGATTTGAACTCAGGTCCTCCTGACTACAGGGTTGGCGCTCTATCCACTGTGCCACCTAACTGCCCCTCGCATGTTCTTTCAATGATCACTTTTATAGTATGTTGCTTAAGTTTTCAGGCGTTGTGGGAGAATCAAGTTAGCAAGTAGGCTATCACAAAATTTATCAATAAAAATTGAGGGAATGGGACACTGTGATCTCTAAAATTCTTTGAATGATCTTGTATTAAATAATTCCAATTTTTTAACCTCTACAAGCATGCCTAATTATTGTTCTCCCTATGTTTGCCACATACTGAGCCATAAGGTTCCAACAGAATTTGTATGCTAAGGAAAAAATACCCTCAGAAGCACTAATTTTTTTTTAAAAGGTATTGGCATGTTTCCAGGTTATTGTGAATAGAAGCATTATGATACTTGCAAATCAAAAGATCTTTTCTTGTAGTAAGGGATTATATCTGTACTATTCCAAAGCAAGTTAACTTCTCCCTAGGTGACGTCTTCAAACTAACATGAAATAAGTCAGTGCCTCCACAGGGCTTTACTGTTCCCCAGGGAGACAAGTCTGAGGCAGCCACAAATCACTTCTTCTCCTTGCCCCTCAGACAGCTTGTGTCACTGCCATAAGTTTTGGTTTCAAGCAAAGTGGTTTATCTCTATTTGATGGTATTTTATCTATTTAACTAACAAAAGGATTGGGAGAGAAGTTATTTTTGTAATTCTTCATTCCCATACACAGCCAACTAATGAGCTTTTCCACACACCCCCATCTGTAAAAAAATTATTTTTAAATAAAATTCCTTTTGTTGTAGTTTAAAAAAAAGGGCAAGTTAAGAACGTGTACAGAATAACTTTGGCTCAATCTCTGAGATCTTTGAAAGAAAAAAACATACCATAGATTAAAAGCACATGCTGATTAGGGAGGTGACTGATTTTCTTAGGGGAGGTGACAGCCAACATTAATTCAAAGCCAAATTACATCAAAATTTTCTCCTCTGGTACAAAGAAGAATAGGTGAAATGAAAATGGGAACCTTTGCTACCAGTGTTCCACATTCTGATATCCCCAAATCTTTCTTATTTAGAAATATAAATTTACTCAGAGATGGGGAGATCCACTAGTTCATCTTGCCCATTTTGTGGATGAAGAAGCTGACTGCAGTCACACCATCCACTACTGGGAGAGCTAAGCTAGCCTTTAAATACTTTCTTTGGTCTTTTTACTCCTTGGCAAAGTGATTCAGTCATTCCCCTCCAAGAAGAACAGCAAATGTCTTCCCTTTCACAAAAGAAGGCTGGGATAGTTAAATGAAAGGTTACACTCTTAAAAATACCCTAATGTCTGTTAGCCTAATTTTATTTACAAACTCAGGGCAAAGATACATTTACTGTATCTTTTTACTTACATGAATATGCTTGCCCCTCTCCCCCTCCATACTGCCATACCAAATACTGCCCAAAAAATCTGTTTTCAGTTATTTTCATAATGAAACACTGATTTAGGGTAAACATGTTTAGAATCAAATTATCAGAGCTGTATGATTAGCCAAAAGACAATAAGCATCAAAGAGGAATTGACTGTATCTATAAGATTTTAAATTTTCAAGTACCTCAGTCACACAACTTTTATTTAATTTTTATTCTGATATTTTCTCAAATATAAAAAGTCAAAATTCTTACACCAATCTTCAAAAGAAAACCATGCAGAACAATTAAAAATGTTTACAGCCTTTTGTTTCCTTAGTTTGCTTCTTTATGCTAGGTTGTTGTCAACAGAACAGACTTTTCTTGAAAATTCCACATTGTTAGGTCAACCCCGGTCATGGTCCATCTAGATGGCCCCAAGATGACTGCCTTAGTGGGCTCAGCCTCCAAGTTCTTAAGTGTTAACAAGTATGGCACTTACCCAGCTGGGAAACTTCAACTGTAGTTTACAAAAGGGGCAGAAAACATCTTTCTCCTAATGTCAACAAGTCAAAATTACTAATGGTTTTGTTCTATAAGTTACCTTTGTTTCTAATCATAAGTAGGCATCCTGCCCACTCCAAGATAATTTAGGGGACCAGAGATCAAAGTCACTTGTGAACCTTTAAGGAAGAGGACCACAAGTAATGTACCAATGAGTAACTGGCCTACTATCTGATGACAATGTTTAGAAAATAGGATTTAGGTTGACGGTATCTTCAGTCTCCTTTCTACACAGAAAAAGCTATCTCTTCTTAGGGTTTTAAATATATAATTCTGTTAGACTGGTCTGAACTATTTAGCAAAAAGCCAACCCTGTGGCAATACATTGTTTACTTTGAAATATGACAACTGTGAAATGTTCTGTTAAATTATACAAAGAGAAGCATTAGGAATCAAAACTAATTAAGGGAATTTTGCAAGTTGCATAGAGACTAAAGAAATCTGTACACTGAAGGGCACTAAGGAATCCTGATGTGGCACTACTAAGCCCAAATGTTCTGACCAAAAAATTATACAACAAAATATTTATAGGCTAACAACTCTTAGGAGTTGGTTAACATCAATACTGTACATTTTTACATTTTTATCCAATACGTAGTTTGAGTTACAAAATAAGATCATGCATTATTTACCTCTAAGAATACCATGTACAAGTTTTTTTTTAAATCCCCAGTGTTACAATGTTAAGTGGGAGTAGTTTTATGTACAAACATTGAGTCCATAAAACAAAAATCCAGTTTCTTTTGGCTGTTCGCTATTCAAAGAAACTTCTCAAATGACTAAGTTAGTCTGAGAAACATCTAGCCCATGAGATTTTTCTAAGTCAGTTTATGTGGGACTGAAAGAGTTTGCCCAGAATGTTTTTTTTTTTTTAAAAAGATGATGTTTAACTTCCTGTACAAGGAGAAATAACATTTCTCAATCAAGTTACATAATTTAGAATAGGAAATTCTCCAAATGTTCATTTTCTACTTTCTTCATTTCTTTTGGTTAGTAGTAATATGTTTCCAAAACCTATTTTCATGTGAGTTAGAACTTGTACTTAAGATCTGGTGTGTTTGAATGGCACAATATCTCATTTCAAACTGTGGCACCAATAATTCCTAAAAGTGTAACAGCACTCAATTTTCATTTATAGCAGCATTTTACACAATTGTGTTTTAAAAGTAGGTTAACGATTTGTGTACTGAATAACAAAGTGTTTAAATTACATGTACGTTCCACTTTACACTAACTATTTACCATTTAGAATATTTACAAATGTTTATAGAATGATTTTTAACTCCACATCTCTTCAAAATGCTAAAGGTTTTTACACTTAAACCTCAGTTCTGACCTGATTAAGGAAGAGGTATCTGCATTTTAGATGGGATTCTTGGTTTTAGGTGTCTTAGAAACTTTAAGAGTGAAAAGAACTTAAAAACCTCAGTCACAATCTTTTTCCAAATGAGATGTGGAAGTGTCTCACTCCTGAGTTTTCACTGGGAGTGAAATTTGAGGGTTTTGTAGAACATTTAAATGGTTCTAAAACCAGGTAAGCTCCCCATCATATACCTGGATATTTTAAATTCTGCTGGCTGTTTGCCAGGAAAGAAAACGAAGAGGCTCCCAGGGACTAAAAGGAATGGCAGAAACTGCATGTTGTTGAGCTCGATTTGATGCCTGTGTGCTATTTGGAGCAGTGGATTAATGAAACAAACCAACTAAAAAGGCAGTCCATGGTGAAAACGACTAATAACTTATGCTTTTCCTAGGTCATTCTGCACAAAAGGATGATAAAACAAAGGCAGGCTGGAGGTAAATCTTAATGCTGTTTTTCATGAGCCATTTTGTATATTTCCAAGGTGTATGTATTATGATAGTGGCATCTCATCCTGAAATGTCATCCATACTCAGCACTGGAAAAACACTTCTGTGTTTAAACATTGAGGGAAAAGATACCACATGTATAGAAAACAATATCCTCTAATAGTAGAGAAATGGTGCTTAATACACATCTATTCTCTCTAAATCCCAAGAAATCATGAGGGCTACAATGTATCTGAAACCAAGCGGCACTAAAGATTCTGACCTTTTGAAATGGCTCTGAAAACTAAAAAGACCCCTACAGAAGGCTTGCTTGCAACGGGTCAGGACTTCAGGAAAAGTACCTAATCTCTCCCCTTGACTTCCTTTAAGAAAAAAGCAAAACCTCCAGACAGCCACACCAGGTAAGCTGGTGTGAGAAGCAGAGTGCAGAGCAGTCTGAAAACAAAAATCAAAGCCTATGTGGGGGAAGGGAGAGGGCACACAGGTAAGGCATCTTAAAAAAAAATCCATATGGCTTTGGTTTACTGAGATATCTTTCCACTGTTAAAGAAAAAGGGAAATACTTCAAAGAAAGCATGTGAAAATAAGAGAACTGCCTGAAGACATAGGGTATGACAATTCAGACAGTTTAAACATGTGGATCAAACACAGAAGCCTTCTCCCTGTGAAACTGTGTATGGTCACCTAGATGTTTATCTTACAGAAGATGGCAACCCTGAAGTCTGTGCAGAAGTCACATACAAAGAATTGTTGTCTGGAAGGGCGGGAACCACGGAATTTCCATTGGTTGGGGAGCAGCCCAACTTCAGTTTTTCCAAATACTCGGCATGCACAGGTTTATGACACTGAAGAACTTTAATGGCATCTTCAACCTTAAACCACTCTCTCTTCCTCCCTAAGGGGGAAAAAAAAAGTAATATCACAGTAATTATGAAAAAAAAAAACATTTTAAAGGCAGCTGATCCCTTACCACCCCTAACTCCCATCAAGTCATTAAATATTTTAAGAGTTCAATGTCTCCCAATGGATCAACAGGACTAATTCCTCAGAATTTAAATAAGATGTCAAATGTCAGGTTAATATGAAGACTGTATAAATGATTGCTGGACCAAGGAATAATTTCAAAACTATACATTTGTCTGGCAGTAAACTGTAATATAAAAGTAGGAGTCTGTCATAATAAACTGTTTAACGCTAGGTCATTTCATATCATGCAAAATACCTAAATGAAGGTGAAGTGAAGATGACAAGAACATGACTGTCAAAGGCATAAGGTAGGGCCCAAAGATACATCCATTGGCAAAGTGCTTAATTTGCCAAAACTGCAATATACCTTCCCCCCCCCTTTTAGTGAGGTAATCAGGATTAAGTGACTTGCCCAAGGTCACACAGCTACTAAGTGTCAAGTGTCTGAGGCTGGATTGGAACTCAGATCATCCTGACTCCAAGGCCATAGCTCTATCCACTGCGCCACCTACCTACCCTACTGCAATATGCTTTTACTCAGCATGATATTACATGGCTAAAGTCAGGATGCCAGCTAATATTAAAATAATTTATAGTATTCCCATACTTTCAGCAAAATGCAGCATGTGAAGTCAACTTGCTTATTAAAACAAAGAGTCTCTCTTAAATATATGGATGAGTTTGAGTCAGCCAGATGCTCGACCAAGGCAGCTCCCAATATTAAATGACATGCATTTTGGGAACATAGATGTGAGAGATGAAGAACTAAAAAAAAAAAAAATGAGAGCAGTTCAGATATATTCATTTACTACCTTTAATTTTCCCAAAAATGTGTCTATGCATCATGAATTTAGTCATACTAATTTCTGGAACTAGTTCATGGGTATATCAGTGTATAGTCAATTCTATTTCTTTCTTTAAAAATCTTTTATAAAGGAGATTATAAAACAATTTAAAAACATTTACCTATGTTAACAGAATCCTCCCAGTCTTCCAATATTTCAGTGACAGTAAGAACATAAACATAAGTGCGATGCTTACGGTCTTGATTCTGCTTGAATATGAAAAAGATGACATTTTAATCTACAGGCTCATGGTTTAAGAATTCAACAATATCTACCAATAGTAATGTTACAAAGAAAAGGCATTAAAATTAAGTATATTCACACCTTTATAAACAGGTATACTTACTTTCTGACAGTCTTGATGAGAGAAATGTCATTGTCAGTATAAATAATCAGGAAACTGAAGCCCACCCATGAGCTGGAATAAGGACAAGGCCAACTATCTTTCTACTATTGGACCTAATCCGTACAGGCCACTCACAGAGACTTTTAAATAAGTCACCACTATATCAAGTTAGAAATCTACTAATGTATCAAAAATAGGTGTCAACTGGGCATATAAAAGCAAGAGTTGAGCCAACATTATCTCACTGTGCACTTTCTCCAGGTGAAAAAAAAGGTAACATGTAAAAAATTCAGATTTCAAACCAAAAAACACTCTATGTAGTAATAAACTTTGTAAAGTAGTATATAATAACGATTTATGGCATATGAACATAATGGAATACTACTGTCCTATAAGAAATAAGGGGATGGATTAAGAAAAACTGGGGGAAATCGTATGAACCAATGCAGTGAAGTGAGCAGAACCAGGAGCACAATCTATGCAATCATAAAAGACAAACTTTGACAGTGATGAATGATAAATCACATTTCCGTGACTCCTGACAGGACTAGGGTGGATGAACTCAGGTTGAAGACAGACATTTTTTTGGACATGGCCAATGCAGGAATTTTTTTCTTTTTTGTTATGACTATGCATATTTGTTATAAGTGTTTTGTCTTTCTTTTTAAATGTGGCAGGGATGGTTTGGGATAAGCTACCTTTAAAATGGATTTTTAGCAGTTACTGCTCTAATACTTTTTAGGAAGGAAAACAGACTGGTTCAAGGTAGAAGATTCCATTAAAGTTCTTCAGTGTCATAAACCTGTGGGAAAACTGAAGTTTAGCTGCTCACCAAACAAGAGAAATTTTATTTAACTGAGGAAATATTAAGGCCATCACTACATCTACAGTTTCATCAAAAAAGAACTACTCTGGTTCTTGTCCATGCATTAACTTAGAAAAGGAAAGAGAATGACTAAATTTATTTGCATTAGAGACAAGAAAACTAAACCAAAAGTTTTTGCCATCCCATTCTTATTCACCTCAAATAATCCAAGGAAAAATCACATTTTCTTAACTACTCCCCAAAGCAACAGGAGCTTAAAAGTGTGCATGTGCTGTGTATGCATGTTGGAGGGTGGAATGGGAAGAAAGGAAAGATGGTTATAGGTAACAAAGACCTTTCCCTCCCCAAACTGGGCTCAAAACATTCCTATTCACTTAGTAGTCAAGGCTACGTTTCAACAACCTCTACGTCCTGTGAGTCCTAGGGTTCTTGTTCATGGCAATGGAGTGCGAGTGATAGAAAGCCATCTGAGGACCCAGTGACAAATTCTTTGGCCACGATAAAACTGATTACAATCTGTGTCAGTGGGAGCAAACCACAATGACAAAATCATAGATGCTCAGTATTTGAAGGGTTCAATAAAATGTCATTATAGTACAACTTGGATGTCCTGGAGTTTGTTAAAAAGGGATTTTGTCTATAGCAACTTTCTGTGAAAGGAGATGTGGAATTATTTCTATTTCTAATTTAGCAAAGTTAGGCACCATTGAGTAAGTACCACAAAGTAACTGAATCTATAACGCTAAAAACAACAAAGTAAAAAAAAAATTACTAGTACTGACCAAAATTACTAAAGGCTGTTAAATCACACTGTAACACTATCCTGAATTGAACTGTTAAGTTTCAATGTATCAAAAAGAAAGTCAACTTCCATTGTTCACCTGAAGATGGAGCTATTTCATTATTCAACTATCAGCATCTCAGGACAGCAGCTACGGGGCAGCTATTTAAGTCCTCAAGAACAAATGAAAAGGTCCTCAGAGAAAAGAATGCTACCTTCAAGTCTTACTCTAGGAGAGGCTCTTCTCTTAGGACCGTTAAATGTTTTCAGTATTCTGAGATGCCATTGTATATTTTTAGAGCAGCAGCCAAAAATTAACATTCTAAAATCCAAAAGCAGGATCAAATGCCACATGGATTCATTCTGATGTGAAGAACAGTCCAGGGAGGCTTGATGAAAAATCTGGAGCTAGGTCTCAAAAGATGAGTGAGACATAATTAGGTAGAGAAAGGCAGGCACTCGGGGAGTGGAGCAGAACTCTGAGAGGGTCCCCAAGTTCAGATCCAGCGATGGAGCCTATGTCTCATTAAAGTACAGTCTTCCCAGAATGAGGCTGGAAACACGACTGGTTTCTCTGATGTACAGAAAAGCAGTCAGAGACTGGCACATGAACAGCAGATCCTTTGGGCCAATAAGTGAATACTAAGAGAACACTTGTAAAAGTAAAAAACTTGAAGAGCTAACTAGAAAAAGAAGGGCTAACTAGAGAGCTAGGAAGAATGCAACCATTTTGATTCTTAAGATTATGGCATAAACCCATTCCCAACAACATAAGGAGTGTAATTTTATTCAGGCAACCAAGACTTATTTTCAATTTTGTCTGGGAAAAGTGTTATGGATTAATAAACAGCTATGAGAAGTTCCCTGCTTGCTTGGTTTTAAATTACCAATATTTAAAAAGACCAATTATCCAGGTGTGAACCTTAGGAAGATTCAAGGCTTAAAGGTTCTTTTAGCAAACTGAGTTAACTTTCTTTAAAAAAACAAACAAACAAACAAACACGATTCTCAGCTTCTCTTAACTCTCCCATCCTGAAATACTACTTGTAAATGCACTCAGCTCAGTGCCTGGCACATAACAGGTGCTACATAATAAATGTTTATTCTCCCTGTTGCTCCTTTCCTACCATCAAACACTAGGATTACAACAGGCCTGGACATGGTTTAGTTCCATGGCCCAAAGCACCCATAAGACCAAAATCTGTGTATTTACAAGGTTGCTATGTGGCTGACCATCCTACCTGAAAGATTCCCTAATCTCTGCCTCCAGGACACAAAGAGGTTCTGTTTCTAGGGTTGTTTGCCGATGTCCCCTATTCAGGCAGCCATCTTCATCAGAAAATAACAAAGAACACGTTTCTAACGAGGGTTGTAGCTACAGATGCTCTTTCCTCTTCTTTTGACATGTTTTAGCAACTTAAGTGTTCCAGGGTGCATGTGGCTACAGTCAACTTGGGATCCCTCTCTCACAGTTGGCTGCTCCTCACAAAGCGACCTGGTGTATTTGCTGTCCATCCTTGAAGCCCTTCTAGCTTGGCTAGGACCTGCCAGTGTTTAGGACTTTGTTGGCGCAGTCTCACCCTGAACACCAGAAAGCCTACTATCAGGATGCAGCTTAATTTTTGGTGACAAAAATAACTTTCCGGTTCCTAAGGCATGCAAATATGCTTCTTCTAGCTATGAGTCTTTAGTCTATCTTTGCTGGAGAACAGCCCATGCTGTCGGTTATCCAATGTGAATTTTCAAAACCCACAAGGGGTTATAGCTGGGGTACAGCACTCCCTCTCTCCAGGTCCTTAATATGCTTATATTTAGTACTTTGGAAAGAACATCAGGCTGCAAACTGGAAACAACCTCTTCAAAGCTGGCAACGTGGCAGCCTCTTGGCTACTGGGGCTGAAGAAGAAACTCTTGATTTGTATCTGCTAGGAAAATAGCAATTCAAACAACATTAAGCAGCTGAACAGTGATATTTTTAGAACTCACCTCAAATATCCCCAGAAGTCTGCCTAATTTTCCTCTGACACCAGCCTATAAATAAATAATAAGTTAGCTTCTTCGAAATATCAGAACTTTGCATCAAAGTTTTTCACTCCAGTATTTTGTAGCTTTATTTCTTCCTGAAATTGTTTTAATTAATACAATGAATGTGAAATATTTTAACTAAGTCAATACCAGTTCTCTGGGAGAGAGTGAAATGTCACAGACTATGTCATTCACAATGTAAACGTTATGAAATGAAATAGGCTCAATTATCCCTTCACTTATGATGTATCCTGAGATACTCTGCGTTCAACATTTCACTGGGCTTTGTCTCGTGAGTCTAATACACACGCCTAAATATAGCTGTTACTTGTTTGCTTTTAAAAAATCCCAATGGTTTATTTCATTCATTCATAAACATTTAAGTGTTTGCTACATTTCAGAGTTACTAGCTTTGATTCTCTTGCAAATCTGATTGGTTCAACTTGTTAGCACCATTCAAGGAAAAGTCTAAAATCATATCCTCTGACTGAGCAGGACTAACTGAACAGTTCTCCACATAGGAAATCTCTCTGTAGCCTTGGTAAATGCAGCACTCCCTTTCTTTAGATATGACATCATCGGCTCCTATGAGATGATGGAAGGGACCTTTCTCTTCCTGCCAGCCTTCTTGATGGTATCTAACAGGGTCGGTCTTTTTAGCTGTAGCACATAGTGATATCTACACTCATCCTCTAGGTTCTTGTTCCCCAGAGAATTACTGAAAGCTCAGAACTTATTTTCAACTATAACCAGAATTCTCTTTATATGCTTTAATATTCATGGCAATCATTACTTCCCCAGAAAACACTGGTTTTTTAAGGATGTGCCCCTTCAGATCTTCCCTAAATTCTATAATTTCAGTTAAACTTGTTACATAGTCATACTCTGACTGCTTATAGAACCCTTAGGGAATTTACTATTTTTCAAACACTTTAAAAGCTTGTAAAGTGTTTCCCACACCAACAACGTGATACCTGCAAGGGTGACTATTACCCCCTTTTTCCCTGACTGTGTTGACTTGTCCCCCACCCCAACCTGCGCTCTTAACCCAAACTTTTCTGGAGGGACAGAAATACCTCCACATAAAAAATTTTTTAAAAACGGTATTTTAAGCCCCCAGGTTTTTCCATGGTCTCACCTCCTCGTATACTTCTCTTACTGCAGCTCCACCTGGCTCTTCCTCAGGCTCCATTCCTCCACCAGGAACAATCCATTGATCTGGATACCGACTGCTACTCACCAACAGCACCTGACAGAAAATAAAATATAGCTTTAGTTAAAACTCAGACACATAACACTCACTAGCTGTGTGACTCTGGGCAAGTCACTTAAACCCCAACTGCCTCACCAAAAACAAAACAAAGCAAAACAAACAAAAACAAGCAGGATTTGAACTCACACCTGTTCTTCCCCCTTTCTTCCCCAAGAGGTCCTATTAGGGTTACAGTGTCATCTTGGGGCCAGCTGTGAATGGAGAGTAAGGTCTTTTCAAAGAGGACCAAAGACATCAAGACAAGACAATGACTTGCTCGTGAACTGAATTTCAATGATTCTTTCACAGTCTGGTGGCAAGCCAAGTGAAGATGCAGTAAATGACCTTGTACGTCTGACCAAGCTCTAACTGCTCTACAGAGCCTGTTACCTGTTATTTTCATCCATCCATTCCACTGGGGGAAGTGTTCACAATCTCCTGAGTCACTGTTGGTTACCCTCATCCTGGTTTAGCCTAACTGATGGTTTTTCTGGGGTGTGGCCACTCTACACGCTACAGCTTTTTGGGAGCCACACATGAGAGTTGGGTGAAGATGGACCCCAAAAGTGAATAAGAAGCCCTGAAAAGGGCTTAGAAGCTCTCATACCAGAGGTGCTTGTATTCCCTCAACACCCCATACTACCCCTCAGTTACAATGAGGTACAATTAATAGGATTTGGAAACTGCCAATATGGGAGAAAGGGAGGGAAGAAAAGGTTATGAACCTGGGTGATCAGGAAAATGGAAGCATTTATAGTGCAAATTATATCCTGCATGGACTATGCTAACTATTAATACTATATGACCTTTGCTTTCCTTCCTCCAAGAAAGTGCCTGGACAGTATAAGAATATAAAGCTGGTAATGATCTGTCTGAAATGAAAGTTACTGCTACCACATCCTGGAAATTACTGCCAAAAATTAAGAAATAAAAAAGGCTAAACTTTTGACAATTCTTTTTAAACTTCACTTTATACACGGGGCAGTTAAAGGTCAGTTGTGCCACAAGTGACCACATGTCTTCCATGATTCTGTATTACCAAATGAAAACTCTAAAACTGTACAACTAGCATTTGAGGTGCTGTGATTTGTGCAGGCACAACCAGCAGCCCTTTTCCTGGAATGTACTCCTTCCTCACTTGCCCTCAGGATTCTTCCAAGGAGATCAGGTTCACAGCTGGTTGAAAGCAATCTTCCTGTGTCGTCTGCTTTTTATTCCCAAGCTGATCACAACAGCTGCACCAGTAGCACTCATAGCCTTTGGCCCTAAGCCAGAACTCAGGACAAGACATACTAGATAGGTTAGAAGCAGATCACCTTGAGACATGTTTCAGAATGTGCCTAGCTGTTAAGATACTGAAAGAAGCAGATTTCCTTAGTTTGACCCTAGCCTTTAATTACCAAATGAGAGTTATCATGATACAATGGAAGAAATGCTGCACTTCTACCCAAGACTTCTGATTCCAAGCCCTCACACTTACAACCTGTGTTGACTATGGGATAAGGTCACTTACCCCCTTGAGGATCAGTTCCCTTTATCTATAAAAACAGGGATTGGCTAATGAGATTACCCACCTTCACAGGAGTGCAAAGTGCTCTGAAGGCACCATATAACTAACTATAAACTATTTGAAAGTTTCTGTAAGCTCAGCTTTCCAGGACACCCTACACCCAGATTCTGCTGGTAAGCTAAAGTAAGGTGACCACTGAATAACTTCCAATTAATGTCAGAATCAGCCCAATGAGATCTTTTAGGTGACTGATGTCCTACTTTAGTACATTTCCATAATTCTTATTTCAAAAGCAAAGAATTCAAAGTAGTTTTTACTTCTGACTCAACTTTGTAGTTAAGTAAAGCAAGTTAGTAAGTTTCTAATGTATTTTTGAAAGTTACACCTGTTGTGAAAGCATGTTTACACTTCCTTTTCTAAGTTTTAAAATGTTTGGTCACTTTTTACGAGGGGTTGGTACATTTTAAAGAAATGTGATTTAGCCATCTTATCAACCAACTTAAGAGTCATATGGAAGATATAAGGTCTGGATACTAGTGTAACATATGGGTTATCTAATTTTCATTCCCACAATTAGAGCACCTCTTTTTGTACATATGCTTAAAAATCTTTCATGCCTTTTCAAATTAAGATCTTCAAATTAAGATCTTCTTCCATAATACGCTGAAACCTACTTATATCCACCAGGCCTCCGTCTGCTTTCTTTTGAAGTTGCCTACAATTCTGTTCTTGTAAATGAAGTTATCAATAATTCGCACTTATTTAGCATAGCCATGTCAGCTTTTGTGGCAGTGATCCACACTGATCCAGCTTGAAAATTTCCTAAATGCAATCTAGCTTGCTGGATAAATCTAATCGATTTGTCTATTGGTACTACCTGTTTCAAAACTATGTGTACTGATGGATTAATTCTCTTAATCTAGGGTATTATTTATTCTTCATCTCCCTGTTGGTTTCTGAATTGATTGGCATTAAAAAAAAAATCATGGTTCATGTCACGGCATCTATCCTGTAGCAGCTTTTCAGAGAATAATGTCATGAATGTCATCTGTCTAAGGTAACCAACAGGATATCCTGTGACAATGGTGAATAACTGTGCTGAGTAAGTATCTGTTACCTACATTTGCTTGGTACTAAACAGACAAAATAGTTTTGATCAACAATCCTATATCTTAATCTTGGCATAAAGATGGAGATATCTTGATGAAATTCCTTTCAGGCACCTTGCCAAAGCCAATCTTTTGTTTTCATTAAGGATACTCACAAATGCAAATACAGACCAATTTCAAAGACCTGAGAGAATAGAATAGACACATGATTCAATAGCTGCTAATGTTTTCTGAAAAACCTTTTTGGCCACTCAGTGCCGTCTCTTCTATCCCCTTTTGTGAGATATTTCAGAAAAAACAAAGCATTACCTGAGTATCCTTAACATTGCCTTGCTTCTATAGCATAAATTTCTTTTAAATGTCAGAACCAACCCTTTTTCTACACTTTCTAAAGTGCTGGGCATTAGGTAGAAGTGACAGAATCCCTAATCTGCTGGTTCCACTGTTATTAATAAAACTAGATTCTTGCCAATCTGTTCTATTTCAAATCTATTTGTAATCCTTTCAGTTGTCTATAAATCACAGAATAACCTGGATTAACTAGAAATAAAGCCAAGTTTTGTGCTGTTTTGTTCTACATTTTCCCTGTGTTGTAAGAAAATATTTTTCAAAGTCTTCCACCCTCTTCTCCTCTAACATTTTGTAAATGATATCACTGTATTCTAAACATGTCTGTCCCTGGCTATCAATGAGCTCTTTACCAGACAAGAAATAAGTGTGACAGGTTTTTTTTTTTGGGGTGAGGCATTCAGGGTTAAGCGCCTTGCCCAGGGTCACACAGCTAGCTAGTGTCAAGTGTCTGGATTTGAACTCAAGTCCTCCTGACTCCAAGGCTGGTGCTCTATCCAATGTGCCACCTAGCTGCCTCAACATCTTTTTTCCCCCTCATCCTTCTGTTAACTCATTTAACAGAAGTTCAAAGAAACGTTAATGTCTTTACTTCCTTTACTTTTATCTATGTTCCACTTCTTCAGAGTCAGCTTTAAGTGGGTCAAGTTGATCCTCAGTAACTACATTCTCTTGTCTTTATCCTGGATACTAATTTGGACCTTTGCTAACAAGGCAATGACCAGACTCTACCAGTTTGCTGTTGCTTTGTTGAGTTGTTTTTCAGTCATGTGATCACATTTGGGGTTTTCCTTGGCAAAGTTACTGGAGTGGTTTGCCATTTTGTTCTCCAGTTCACTTTACAGGGTTAAGTGACTTGTCCAAGGTTACCCAGCTAGTAAGTTATCTGAGGGTGGAGCTGACTCCAGGCCTGGCCCTTTATCCATGGCGCCACCTAACTGCCCAACTGTACGCACCTGATCCTAAAATGACTTACTTCTATGTTTGTAACTAAGTCATTTCTTATCTGCTAACATAGTCAATTTCATGTTTTGTTTTCTGATGTTTGGTGCCTGCCATTCAGGACAGCCTGCTACCAAGTTACAGAGTAGTTAATATAATGATGTGTTCTGATGTCTTAATACCAAATCAACATTGTTCACTGTCCTCTCCCAACTGTGACCAATGATGTTTGCCCTGAAATTACTTAGCATCCAGGTATGTATATAGACTTAGTCTGGAGGATGTGATGTTCATAATAGCTCTCACGGACTGGTCCTTTCTCTATGCTCACACAGCAGCCTGATGGGTGCCCCCTCTCCAGGCCATCCTACATCCTGAAGCAGCATTCACAGATCCTTTCTTAATTAGCTCCAGTGACTCCCTAATGTTCTTGGATCAACATCAGCTTTTACGTTTACTTTTTAGAGCCCTTTACCTCTAAGTCCCAACCTATAATTCCAGCATCATTTTACTATGATCTAGCTAAATTGGCCTTCTCTCTGTTGCCTTCATGCTGGTTGCTTCTCCCCACATGCCTGGAATACTCTCCACCCCTCACCTTCCACTTCACAGAATCCCCCTCCCTCTTCCTTCAAAGCAAAGTTGAAGTATGAAACCTTTGAGGATCCCCTTGACTGGTTGTGCCCAATGTCTCAGACTATCTTGAATGAACTATTTTGTTTTTAGTCTGTATGTGATTATATAAGTGGTCACTAGGTGGTATAGCAGGTAGAGAGCTGAACCCAGAGTCAGGAAAACCTATCTTTATGAGTTCAAATCTGACCTCAGACACTTACTAGCTAGGTGACCCTTGGCAAGTCACTTAACTCTTTTTGCGTTAGTTTCCTCATCTGTCAAATGAGCTGGAGAAGGAAATGGAAAAAGGTTCCAGTATCTTTGTCAAGAAATTCCCAAAAGGGGTTCCACAGTCAGACATGACTGAAATGAGTGAACATGCTTATATATAAGTATTTCTGTACATTATGCAAGTAGGCAAATTTTCATTTGTGTTCCCAGTGCCTATTACAAAGTAAATACCTGTTGATTCT